AGTGGCACCTTGTAAAATAACTTGTTCAGATATGCATAAGCTTTCGTAGGCAGCAGCCTTCTTCGTTAAATGCTATGAATGGACTTGTTCATAGAACATTTGTAGCATCTGAGGAAGCAGACTGTTGTTACTACCTACAAAAACTTTAGGCATTTCTGAACATGCCACCCTGCCCCACTTTCTGCCTTACATTAAAAAGTCATAAAAACACATGATGATGATGATGGTGATGAAGCAAGCATCAACACGCTCATATGTTGGAAGCATGAGGGCCACAAAGCCAGCAACAGGTAGAATGGTCTATGTCAGTAAGACCTTGGACGCCCGAAGGAGTGTTGTAACGGCGTTTGTAGATGATGGTCAGCCGTCTGAGGTTGAGCACCACAGCTACAGCCAGTGTCATTGGAGAGGCTACAAAAGTGCATGCTTGCCTTAAACTGTCCAACACTCATTCTGTGAGGGTTAAGAGCAGTCCAGGCTCTGTGGAGCAGCTGCCATCCTGAGGGGCGGAAGCTGGTGCTGGGGGGGAAGTTCTTTAGCCTCAGGTCTTGTGCATCATATTTTCTGCTCCACTGATGGGAGGTCCAGGGTGTAAGTAATATGCCATATGCAAATTTGATGGGCTTAGTGGCCTGAGTGAAGAATGGATTCTGAGACTTCAGGTGGTAGTTGGGTTTCTGGCTTGGGACTACTAGGCTGGAGTTTAAAGAATGGTCTGGATCTTGGGCTTTGAGGCCTAGGGCCAGAGTAGCAGCTTGTCTCTGGATGTCAGGGGACAGAATGCCTGAGGGGACTGGTAAGCAGTCAGTGGGCTGGCATAAGGCATCTGGTTATGGCAGGGGCGGGCAATTACTTTGGGCGGAGGGCTGCTTACTGAGTTCTGGCAAGCCATCGAGGGCCGCATGACAGGCATCCCAGGGCAGCTTATTCTTTTCTAAATTTTTTTAGGGGCCGCGCGGGCCGGATAGAATGGCCTGGCAGGCCGCATCTGGCCCCCGGACCACATTTTGCCCACCTCTGGGTTATGGTCATTATAATGCTGTTAAGGCTGGAATCCACTAGCTTAGTGTGCATGCCCTGGCCCCATACTGGTGTGTAGTACTCAGCAGGAGCATATGCAAGTGTCATAGAGGAGGTGTGAGGTGTTTGAAAACTTGCATCCCAGGTGGTGCCAGCAAGGTGACGGATAAGAGCTCCTTTGCTGTTAACCTTACCCTGGACCCCTTCCAGATGCTGGTGATAGGTAAGGGTCTGGTCCAGCTTGATTTCTAAATAAGTAATAGTGTGACAATGTTTAAGTGTCTGGTCACCATCAAAAACAGATAAAAGAGTAAAACAGTTCCTCCCAAGAATACCCCAGGTCTGTGGCTGGCAGCTTGTGGCCCATGGGCTGGATCCGGGAGTCCATGGAGCCATTGGGTCAGCCTGCAGAGCAGTGGCTTTGGCAGTGGGGGGAACTTGCCCACACTGCTATCATCAGGCACTTCATTCATGCTATACTGTGGCTGGGCAGTGAGGAGAGGTGGCAGCCAGATCTTAGCACTCCACCTTAGACCTGGTCTGGGTCACTCCTGCCTGCTGTTGGAAGAAATTGCCGGTCCCTGCCCTAGGTGAGCTCTTTGATTCAGATGTCATCTTAGAGTAGCATTTTGGTCAGAGCCAGAAGTCTCAGGAGGTTTCATCCTAGCTGCTAGCTGTGGTGCCTGTACCGATCCAACCAGAGTTCATTATGAATACATGCAACAGGTTCTTTTTCTTTCTTTGAAAAAGAGAAAGTGTTGAACGCAGGGATGTTCTGGTAGTACTAGTCTGCAGATTTGTACTAGGGATTGACAGAAGTTGAAAATAGTTATTCTAATTTAAGAACTTAAATGTAACCTTAGTCAGAGAAGACTTGCCTTCCTCGTTGCTCCGGAAACTGAAGTCCTTTAATTTCAGAACAGGCAGTAGCACTGAAGTGCAAGCTTTACCTACAGTACCCTTTCTTCATACGTGTTCCCTTTGCTGGAGGTTCAGGAGAAAGATGATGCAGGATTCTGGGAGTGGGTAGTTAGATTGGGGTTCTGGCAGGGGGAAGAATGAGATATTGAATAAAAACTCCGTTGAACTGGGGTGTAAGGGTGGGGGGGCGTGATTTTAAGGGGAAAAAATTGGCAAACCCACTGTATGGCTGGCGTGTATCTTACATTTTGCAGATGCTTTTGAAAGAGCATGGTTAGAGGTGTTTATGTAGAATGAGCACCATTTTCAACTTGTTAGTTTTTGCTCCCAAAATATTATTTGGTTTCTACTTCAGTAGTGTATGTGCAGTCTTTTTTTTCCTTCGAAAAGGCAAAAAGCACTTGCCAGTGCCTTTTTATAAATAAAGGGAAATGTTGCAATTTGTAGGTTACTTGCTTATTATAGCACAAGAAAAGAATAATTAAAAATAACTTACACGCCTTCCTAATCTTCAAACCCATGTGTGTCAAACAGGTTTAAATCAAATGTGAGAACAGGACAGATGAGAATTTGGGGGCAGATGGGGAAAGGAGTAGGGAAGTGAGGAAAACAAGCCACAGAAACAGAGAAAACCTCCTTTTAGCACTTTGGAGTAGGTGAGTGAAAAAGAAACCAAGTTCATAGTGGGAAAACTGGTTGCAGTGTTAACTATACTGTATATTGGAAACTTTCTTTTCATACTGTAGCTTACTTTACAACTCCTGGTATTTCCAAACAGAACTGAGTCTGCTTCAGTATATAAAAGCTTTATGTTTTGGTTTGATTTGCAGTAATCTGTTTCTGTGATACCGGGGAAAAAAAATCTAAAAACAGTCTTCTGGAGAAACTTGGTTTTCTGGTTTTGCTCTGTTGCACTGAATTCAAGTTGGGGTTCTTGGTGTGCTTTTTAACACAGAGGTTTAAGTTCTGTAGTTAGTTTCTCCAATTTTAAGAAATGTTTACTGGTTATTTGGCACTTCAGCCTTTGTTCACCTCATCCCTTTTTCTCCTTATGATGAACTTCAGCAATATTGCAAGATTGGTTAGGATTTACTTGGACTAAGTCTCCACTAGAAAGGTTTGCCCATTTAATTTTGGTTGTGGCTAAATTGCGAAACTTTCCCCAGTTCCCGACCCAGCACTTTTTAAACTGACAGAACTGGATCTACACCTGGGTTTTTATTGGCATAGCTATGTTAGCAAAGGAAACAAAAATTACATGCAGCTCTCTGACACAGCTATGCTGACAAAGCTTGCTAAGTTTCACCTGCTCTTAGAGTACAGTTCCTAATTTTCCTCCCCACGCCACATCTTTTGTTCAGAAAAAATTAAGCTGTATTTGATATTTTAGCTATAGTTTTTTATAGCTTTTATGGTAGTGCTAGTGGTGTCATACCCACAATGGCCCAGGAATTACTTGAGAGGCAAGAATTTGGTCCAATAAAAGATATCACTCTCATAAATCCTTGCCTCTTGCATATAGTTTTATGTTAGGTATGGATCTGTTTCAGTTTTGCCAGCACAGCTTTATTGATCCCAGGTGTGATACCTATTGATCCCAGGTATGATACCTTCTCCCAACTCCTAGCTTAATTCCTACTAGAAACAGTGACAACTGCAAGATGTCCTTTTTAGAATGCATCGTGAGAGAACTGGCTAAATCAAAGAAATCAAAATAAAACCTCTGCTGGAAGAAGTTTGCAGGCTTGATTCAAGAAAGCAAATTGTGTTTGCCACCTTGTTACATTTAAACCCTAATTGCATAACAATTGGTTATCTTTAGACAACTGTGAGTTAATGAACTTGACAGTAATTTTTTCCTTCAACCCTAATTAAAGATTTAATGGATCATGTGCATTACTGGTGTGTGCAACCACTAATTTTCAGGGATGTAAGTGAAAAAGCTAAACTGCTCTTTGGATGGGGGAGGAGGGTAACCTGTCACAATCTGTAATTAATATATTTGTTCTGCTTCCTTTCTCCTGACAGAACAAACATTAATTAATTGCAATTTACCCACTAAAACAAAATTACTACTCCTTTCAAGGGTTTTTTTAAAGAAAGGAAGAGTGCATATTTCAGGCCCTATGAGTGATTTGTGTTTTGTTCTGAGTTTCCAAGCCTTTTTGTACATTTAATATTGGTTATTTTGAAACTGTGTTGTATGGTAATTACTGAGTCTCTGTGGAGAGTTGGTAACAAGCACTGAAGATTGTATACCATTGGATTAAGGTATCGCAGACAGGAATTCCTCGTTAAAGGTATGCTACATACCATTTAATCAGACCATCCCATCATGGGAAATTAAATTTGGTCCTTTCTTCCTATTATCTTTATATAAGATGGCCTGACCCATATGAATTTCCGATGTCTAATGTTAGGCGTTTCTGTATGCAAAATGATGGGATATTATATTTGTATTCCCAGTTGAGCACTGTGCTATTATGAGGCAATTAATGTGTTGCCGTTTACCTTTCATGTCAGTAGAAGTTAACATTCTCAGACCAAACTTGAAACATTAAAAATAACTAGTCCAAAATAACAGTCAAAAGGATATGATCAACTTAAAATTACGTTTCAGACTGTCTTTTTACTCATCTTATTACAAATCCCTTATAGTCTCTTAGGAAGGTAG